AAATCAAGTGAATAAAAAATCTAATGAACAGAGTAAACTGGTGAATATAATAGAATCAGGGGCATAGAAAGGGAGTGGACTGACAATTCTCGGAGGGAAAGAGGTATGGGGGATGCGGGAAGAGACTGGACAAAAATCGTATACCTATGGATGAGGGCAGTGGGGGCGATAAGGGCAGAGGGTGGGGTGGGAACCGGGTGGAGGGGAGCTATGGGGGGAAAAAAGAGGAACAACTCTAATAATCTGAACAATAAAGATTTATTTTTTTAAAAAAGGTGTAGGGTAGCGGAACGGATACAAAAACATGACCCAACTATATGCTGTCTACAAGAGACGCACCTCAAAACAAAAGACACACAGGATGAAAGTGAAGGGATGGAAAAAAATTTCCCATTCAAGTGGAAAAGACAAAAAATAGCTGGAGTAACAATACTCACATCCAACAAAATAGACTTTAAAAGCATCATGCTAAGCGAAATAAGCCAGCTGAAGAAAGATAAATATCATATGAACTCATTAATTTATGGAATATAATGAACAACATAAAATGATGAACAAAAATAGAGCCAGAGGGAAAAAAAGAATACTAGAATATAATAGAAGTAATCCTGTTATTAGCAGATTTTTAATATTTCTGACAACTTTTGTGATAGCATACTGTTAGTACAGTTTTGGTAATATTATTATGCTTAAAATCCTTTTCTTGAAATATTAATGTTTATTGCATGTAATATATGTAAGATCATTTTTCTTGAATAATTTGTGTTTATTGAATATAACATCATATTTAAAATGGCTTTTCTTGAGATATTAAGGTTTATTGCATGTAACATTATTATATTAAAAATCATTTTCCTTGCCGAACTGGTTTGGCTCAGTGGATAGAGCGTCGGCCTGCCGACTCAAGGGTCCCAGGTTCGATTCCGGTCGAGGGCATGTGCCTTGGTTGCGGGCACATCCCCACTGGGGGGCGTGCAGGAGGCAGCTGATAGATGTTTCTCTCTCATCGATGTTTCTAACTCTATCCCTCTCCCTTCCTCTCTGTAAAAAATCAATAAAATATATTTTTTTAAAAAATCATTTTCCTTGAAACTGAAAAAAAATAAAGTACTCATACAACTGAATGAAAGACAAACAATCCAATTAAAAAATGGGCAAAGGACCTACATAGACACTTCTCCAAAGAGGACATACAAAAGGCCAAGAGACATATGAGAAAATGCTCAACGTCATTAATCATTAGAGATACAAGTTAAAACGACAATGAGGTATCAGAATGGCTACCATCAACAAATGACAAGTGCTGGCGAGGATGTCCACTGCAGGTGGGAATGCAGACTGGTGCAGCCACTGTTGGAAAACTGTATGGAGTTTCCTCAAAAAGTTAAATATGGAACTGCCATTTGACCCAGTGACCCCACTTCTAGGAATATATCCTAAGAGACCCGAAACACCAATCAGAAAGAATGTATGCACCCCTATGTGTATCGCAGCATAATTTACAATCGCTAAGATCTGGAAACAGCCCATTAGCAGATGAGTGGATAAAAAAGCTGTGGCACATTTACACCATGGAATACTATGCAGCAGTGTAAAAGAAGGATCTCTTATCCTTTGCAACAGCGTGGAGGGACCTGCAGAGAATTATGCTAAGTGAAATAAGCCAGTCAGAGAAAGACAAGTATCACATGATCTCATGCATATCTGGAATCTAATGAACAAAATAAATTGAGGAATAAATTAGAACCAGAGGCATGGAAAAATGGAACAGACTGACTGATCTCAGAGGGAACGGGGATGGGGTGGGGGTGGGGATGGGATGAGATTAACCAAACAAGTTATATGCATATATGTATAACCCGTGGACACAGACAATAGGGTGGTGAAGGCCTGGAGGGGCGGGAACCAGATGGAAGGGGGCAGTGGGGACAAAAGGGGGAACATCTGTAATACTCTCAATAATAAAGATAAATTTAAAAAGCACACAACATTAAGTCATTTCCCCAAAGTCACTCAGCAAGTCAGAACTAGACTTGCAGTTGCCAACATTTGCTACAAGCTTCATAAAATTTCAAATAGGAATAGTTCTTAAAAACCACCTAGTTCATTTTTCTCAAACTTTGATGTGCACATGAATCACTTGGGAATCTTGTTACACAGACAACAGTATGGGTACCAGAGGGAAGAGGGTGGGAAGGGGTTGTAAAGCGTAAAGGGGGTCACAAAAATGGTGGTGGGAAAAGATCTGACAGGTGGTGAACACAATACAGTACGCAGATGATGTATCATAGAATGGTACATTTGAAACCTATATCATCTTATTAACCAATGCCACCCCAAGAAATTTAATTAAAAAGATGTTTTAATGTGGATTCTGGCTCAATAAGCCTGGTTGCAGCTGAGATTTCCTAATAATTATTATTTTTTCTGTTAATCCTCACTTGATATTTTTTCATTGATTTTTAGAGAGAGTGGAAGGGAGAGGGAGAGACAGGGAGAAATATCTATGTGAGAAAGACACATGGATTGGCTGTCTCCTGCATGAACCCTGACTAGGGCCAGGGAACCTACAACCAAAGTACATGCGCTTGAGTACATGCTCTTGACTGGAATTGAACCCGGGACCCTTCAGGCTGCAGGTTGATGCTCTATCTATCCGCTGAGTCAAACTGGCTAGCGCAATAGGTTCTTTTTGTAAAAAAATATATATATTTTATTGATTTTTTACAGAGAGGAAGGGAGAGAGAGATAGTTAGAAACATCGATGAGAAACATAGATCAGCTGCCTCCTGCACACCCCCCACTGGGGATGTGCCTGCAACCAAGGTACATGCCCTTGACCGGAATCAAACCTGGGACCCTTCAGTCCACAGGCTGATACTCTATCCACTGAGCCAAACTGGTTAGGGCAGGCAATAGGTTCTTTTAAAGATATATGAATTATGTATTGGCTGAAATTAATTATCTAAGGGTGATGTATTTAAGTACTGTGCTTCTTAGTGCAGAATCTCAGAGGGAAGGGTGGTGGAGGAGGGAAGTAATTAACCAAGGACCTTGGGTGCACATGTGCATGGCCCATGGACACAGACAATGAAGTGTGGGGGAGGGGTGACTTGGAGGGGGTCAATGGGGAAAATAGGGGACATATGTAATAAAAAAATAAATAAAGGTAAATACTGTGCTTCTTCATGATGTGCTGACTCACTGTTCGTCCCTCACACCTTGGAAAGTGTCGGGTAGCTGCCTGTCCCCAGGTGAGACATCTCACAGGAGTAGCCTTGGAGTTACACCTGGTCAGTGTCGCCTTGTTATAAAGAGGAGAAATTCCACAACCAGGACCCCATTACAAGGCTCTGTGGTTGCAGTTGCCTGTCCCTTCAGCACTCCCTGGAGGCTTAGCCTTTCTGAAGTGGAAGGAGTCAGGGTGGAGCCTGGGTCACGGGAGGAGTCAGGCACGTGAAGTGAGTGCCTTCCTCCCTCTGGGAAGGTCTGGAACCCGAGTGCTGAAATGAAGCCTGGGGTGTGGCTATAGGCCAGTGGTTCTCAAACTTCCTAATGCTGCGCCCCTTTAATACAGTTCCTCATGTTGTGGTGACCCCCAATTTCATTGTTACAAATTGAACATAATTAAAGCATAGTGATTAATCACAAAAACAATCCTATCTAATAATAGACAAACATGGTAATTGACTGTACCTTCGCTACACCTCCCATTGGCTAATCAGCACAATATGCAAATTAACCGCCAACAAAGATGGCGGTTAATTTGCATACATAGGCTCCAAGAGGTGGAGCGAAGCCTGACGGCCCAGGGCCGGCAGAGCAGCAAGGCCTCACATCCCTGGGGCCAGCGGAGCAGCGAGGCCTCACAGCACTGGGGCCAGCGGAGCAGCAAAGCCTGACGTTTCCGGGGCCGGCTCCGGCCAGAATTCGGCCAGAGCGAAGGCCTGGGCCCCGGGTGCCAGAGGCAAACCGGTGCCAGCAGCCAGGGGAAAGGAAGGCCTATTGCACGAATCTCTTCGTGCAACAGGCCTCTAGTATGTAATTATATATGTGTTTTCTGATGGTCTTAAAGGCGACCCCTGTGAAAGGGTCATTCAACCCCCAAAGGGGTCACGACCCACAGGTTGAGAGCCGCTGCTATAGGCAGATTCAATATATAAACATATAGTCTTGAAAGCCCATTAATCCTTTGAGAAAACAATAGCTAAAATGTGTTCAGCACTATTTTAAACTTGTTACACATTTTAATTAATTTAATCCTCAGCAATCCTATAAAGAAGGTAGCACCTATTATTATAATCCCCGTTTTACAGCTGCACAACTTGGGACTCATGGAGATGAAGTGGCTTGTCCAAGGCCAACCTATCAGAGTGCCCGGCTCTGCACTCAGCCTTGCCCTTCACCTGCAGAGAGAGCAGTTAGCGCAGGCGGTGGCGATGGTGGCAGTGGCACAGAGCGGGGTGGCTGCCTCAGTCCTGCCCTCTGGGAAGGAGCGGAACAGCCATGCATTCTAAGAGGCACTGAATGAAGTGGCCTCGTGCACAGCTGGCTCGGGAGGCTCAGGGACCAGTCCTGCATGGCTGCCTTCTGCTTTGGTGATGTTGGGCAAGTTATTCATAGCTTTTGTGTTTGGGCTTTTTGGGTGAGGATTATAAATGAGTTAAAATATGCAAAAACACTTAGAATAGCACCTGACACTCAAGTACTCAATAAGTGCTGGGTAATATACTTTTCAATTAAACCCTCTTCGAGCTGAATGTTATGGTCTTCAGATAGATAATTATCCAGCATTTACCATCCTTTCATTTTAGGCCGAAGCTTTGAGATCCCATGAAAGGCAAAAGCAGAGTAATGAAAGGAAGACAGATAGACACCTTGCCTGGGAAATGGATGAAGCCATTCTGAGAAATGCAGAATGCACGGAGCTACCTACACACTCCAGCTAACAGGGTGGGGAAGCCTTCCTTCTAAACATTGTTTCTTTTGTGCTCCTTTAGGTGCAGTTTTCATTCCAGGGACCACTCAGCTGACCCAGAACGACATCCTCTACAGACTGCAGTCTTCAAAAGCCAAGTGTATTGTCACCCATGATGCTGTCGCCCCAGCAGTAGATGCGGTGGCATCTCAGTGTGAAAACCTGCGCTCCAAGCTCATTGTGTCTCAGAACCCCCGAGAGGGGTGGGGGGACCTCAAGGAGATGATGAAGTGAGTAACCATCATTGTTGTAGAATAGCTTCTCCAAAGAAAGACAACATTGACCAGATACTCAGTCCACGAGTGATGTGATCAGAAAAATGACAATAAAAACAATAAACAGCCCAGCCAGCATGGCTCAGTGGTTGAGCATCAACCTATGAACCAGGAGGTCACAGTTCAATTCCCAGTCAGGGCACATGCCTGGGCTCGGGCTCGATCCTCAGTAGGGGCGTGCAGGAAGCAGCCAATTAGTGATTCTCTCTCATCATTGATGTTTCTATCTCTCCCTCTTCCTTCCTCTCTGAAATTAATAAACATATATTAAAAAAACACACCATAGGCCCTAACTGGTTTGGCTCAGGGGCTAGAGCGTCGGCCTGCAGACTGAAGGGTCCCAGGTTCAAGTCTGGTCAAGGTCATGTACCTTGGTTGCAGGCACTTTCTCAGTAGGGGGTGTGCAGGAGGCAGCTGATCAATGTTTCTCTCTCGTCGATGTTTTTAACTCTATCCCTCTCCCTTCTTCTCTGTAAAAAATCAATAAAAAAATACATTAAAAAACACACCATAGGCAAAGGGAGCAGCTGGTGATTAGCACTGTGCCAGGGTACAGTGCTCTGAGGCAGGCAGGAGCTTGGCCTGTTTTCATAGTTGGGATTTTTAGGAAGCAGACACTGATACAGAGATTAATCGAATTAAGAAGTTTACTAAGGCCCTAACCAGTTTGGCTCAGTGGACAGAGCGTCAGCCTGTGGACTGAAGGGTCCCAGGTTCGATTCCAGTCAAGGGCATGTACCTTGGTTGCGAGCACATCCCCGGTGGGGGGCGTGCAGGAGGCAGCTGATTGATGTTTCTCTCTCATCGATGTTTCTAACTCTCTATCCCTCTCCCTTCCTCTCTGTAAAAAAATCAATAATCTATATTTTTTTTTTAAAAAGAAGTTTACTAAGTTCTCTTGGGATCAACACCTGTGAAGAAAGGCAAAGGATGTGGGATAGGGCAAAAGAAGAAATTTATCTGCCATGTACTCCCAAAAGCCTCCAGCCAACCCACTGAGGCCCCTGGAGTTTGGATAGCCTCTCAGAGCAGTTCCCAGCTAAAGTACTAGTAAGAGGCCTGGCCTTGGGCGAGGCAGCTGTCAGAGGGCTCCGAGTAAGTCCTCCATCCCTGCAGCAGGTGCCACAGCATCAACCGCAGAGCTGGGAGTGGCTCCAGAAGCAGAGGAGAGCAACACTGCTGTCAGCCTTACAGAACACTCATGAGTGTAGAACCCTCAGTATTCATGAATGCAGTTATGAAATAGAATTATTCTGATGCCCACGCCCTGCGGGGGGCTTCCAGGGCTCTTGTCAGGTGTTGGTTCTCTCTCAGCTTCAGGAGGACTGCAAATTCCTTGTCTAGAATGAGCTTGCTTCACTCAAGGGTTTGGGAGCATGCTCCCACCTTCTCTCAAACAGCTAACAAGTATTGAGTTCTTACCAATGGCCAAGGACTGATCTAATAAAAAATAATGTTATAGCTACAATATAGCTGCCATGTCTGTGGCTCTGGTGTATGCCAAAACTCTTCCAAGCACTTGAGATGTATTAAATCATTAGTCTCACCACCTCGGGGTAGACACTGATTATACAGATGAATAAGGTCAGATGCTAGGGTCTGAGCCCACACTCCTGTCTGTGACCTTCAAGGGCTCTAGTAGTGAGAGATTGATATGGTAACTCTACCTCAGGCTTCAAAGGAAACCATATCTGTGATAGGAGTGACAGGTACAGGGCTGTAGGTACTACCTATTTTTAAGGAAGATAATTATGGAATCAGAGACCAACCACATTTGGTCTAGCTCTGCTAGGCTTTGAAAACAGCTTTCCTGCCCTGACTGGTTTGGCTCAGTGGATAGAGCGTCAGCCTGCAGACTGAAGGATCCTGGGTTCGATTCCAGTCAAGGGCACATGCCTGGGTTGTGGGCTCGATCCCCAGTAGGGGGCATGCAGGAGGGAGCCAATCCATGATTCTCTCTTTTCATTGGTGTTTCTATCTCTCTCTCCTTCTCCCTTCTTCTCTCTGAAACCAGTCTACACTAATAAAAGGCGACAAAGATGCTAATTGACCGTACCTTTGCTACACCCTAAGCCACGCCCACCAGCCAATCAGAGCAACTATATGCAAATTAACCCAGCCAAGATGGCGGCCGGCAGCCACGGAGCTGGAGCAAGCAAGAGGCTTGGTTGCCCGGGCGATGGAGGAAGCCAAGCTTCCCGCCTGCCCTGAGCCGGCTGTGGCCTCTGCTCATGTCAACAGAGTTTCAATTATAGAAGACAGATAAATCCCAGATACCTGCTTCCAGCCAGCCTCCACTGGGAGCTGGGGTAGCTGGGGGTTGTGGCCAGCCTGAAAATAGCAATCAGCCCCTCACCCAGGCTGGCCAGTCACCCCAGCGGGGATCCCCACCTTGAAGGGACTGTGGCCAGCCTGCAAACAGCCATCAGCCCCTCACCCAGGCTGGCCAGGCACCCCAGCGGGGATCCCCACCCTAAAGGGACTGTGGCCAGCCTGCAAACAGCCATCAGCCCCTCACCCAGGCTGGCCAGGCACCCCAGCGGGGATCCCCACCCTGAAGGGACTGTGGCCAGCCTGCAAACAGCCATCAGTCCCTCACCCAGGCTTGCCAGGTACTCCTGTATAATAAAAGGGTAATATGCAAACTGACCCTAACAGCAGAAAGACTGGGAATGACTGGTCACTATGACACACACTGACCACCAGGGGGCAGATGCTGAATGCAGGAGCTGCCCCCTGGTGGTCAATACGCTCCCACAGGGGGAGCTCTGCTCAGCCACAAGCCAGGCTGATGGCTGCCAAGTACAGCAGTGGTGGTGGGAGCCTCTCCCGCCTCCTCAGCAGCACTAAGGATGTCCGACTGCAGCTTAGGCCTGCTCCCTGCTGGCAAGTGGACATCCCCAGAGGGCTCCCGGGCTGCCAGAGGGATGTCTGACTGCCAGCTTAGGCCCAATCCCCCAGGGAGCAGGCCTAAGCCCGCAGGTGGTCATCCCCTGAGGGGTCCCAGACTGGGAGAAGGCACAGGCCGGGCTGAGGGAGACCCCCCCCCCAAGTGCACAAATTTTTGTGCACCGGACCTCTAGAAAAAATATATTTAAAAAACAAAACAGCTTTCCTACATTTCTCATGGCCTAGCTGCTCTGATTGATTCAGCCTTGGCCTGATAAACTCTATATGCTTCGTAGATGCTGGATGTGCAGAGTTTGCCTACTCTCAGCTGCCCTGTTGTCTGACTTACATAACAGCCCAGTTATCCTTCAGAACTAAATGCTTTCTTTCTCTTTAACTGGGGTCCTTTCTTCCCTGGATGGGTGCTTAGATCCCCTTAAGTGTTACGATTTTCTGTATTCAGAACCATGTAGATGCTCGTGTGGGAAACAGAACAACAATCCTTCCAGAAGTCAGCAAACACCTCCTACAAAAGGAGTGGAGAATAAGTATTTTAGGCTTTGCAGGCTGTGCACCCTGCCTCTGTCACAGCTGCTCACCTCTGCTGTTGTAGAATGAGAACAGCCATAGGCTATATGTAAATGAATGGGCATGGCTGTGTTCCAATAAAACTTTATTTAAAAAAACAGGAGGTGGGCCAGATTTGGCCTGTGGGCTGTAGTTTGCCGACCCCAGCTTTATATACCACTAGAGGCCCGATGCACAAAATTCATGCAAGAGTAGGCCTTCCTTCCCCCAGTTGCCGGCACCGGCTTCCCTCTGGCACCCGGGACCCGGGTTTCCCTCACAGCCCCGGCTTCATCTGGAAGGTCATCTGGTATAATTAGCATATTATGCTTTTATTATTATAGACTAGAGGCCTGTTGCACGAAGAGATTCGTGCAATAGGCCTTCCTTTCCCCTGGCTGCTGGCACCGGTTTGCCTCCAGCACCCAGGGCCCAGGCCTTCACTCTGGCCAAGTTCTGGTCAGAGCCAGCCCCGGAAACATCAGGCTTCGTTGCTCCACCGGCCCCGGAGCCGTGAGGCCTCGCTGCTCTGCTGGCCCCAGAAATGTCAGGCCTCACTGCTCCACCGGCCCCGGGCCGTCAGGCTTCGCTCCACCTCTTGGAGCCTATGTATACAAATTAACCGCCATCTTTGTTGGTGGTTAACTTGCATATTGCGCTGATTAGCCAATGGGAGGCGTAGCGAAGGTATGGTCAATTACCATGTTTGTCTATTATTAGATAGGATTACCCATGACTTCTATTAACATACTCATTTCTTTTAAAAAATATATCACATTTTGCCCTACCTGGTTTGGCGCAGTGGCTAGAGTGTCGGCCTGTGGACTGAAGGGTCCTAGGTTCGATTCTGGTCAAGGGCACATACCTTGGTTGCAGGCTCCTCCCCCAGCCTGGGCCCTGGTCCGGGCTCATGCAGGAGGCACCCAATTGATGTGTTTCTCTCACATCGATGTTTCTCTCTGTCTTTTCCTCTCTCTTCCACTCTCTCTAAAAAGCAATGGAAAAATATCCTCTGGTGAGGATTAACAAAAAAAAGAAAATCACATTTTAAAGCATTCATGGTGAAGGGGCAGTTCTGCACAAATCCATCTGTTACAATACCCTAGAATTCTCGTTCTGCTGCAGGAATGATACAACTCTTAAGTGTTTAAAACGCACTAATTGTGTAATCATACAATTAAAGGCTATGAAACTGGCCATTATAAGTGGGCTATCGATGGCAGTTAATCTGATTCTAGAAAGTACCTGAGAAGATGGAGAGGGAGATGGCATTCACCTTGAATTCAACCCAAATCACAGGGGGCCTGACCACTGGGGAACGCGATCCGAGTGGATGGTTTCTCATCCTTTGCTGTGCCAACAGTCTGTCCTGCGGTGTTTAATGCGCAGAATCACTGCAGTTCTTCCTTCCTCCACAGGCCAGGAACAACCACACGTGTTTAACGTGCTCTTCCTTCCTAGGCGTGCCACTGACAACCACACGTGTGTGGAGACAAGACACGATGAGACCATGGCCATTTACTTCACCAGCGGCACGAGCGGATCTCCCAAAATGACTGCACACACCCACAGCAGTTACGGTTTAGGATTGTCTGTAAACGGAAGGTAGGCTCACAGAGCTGCAGCTGGAGGCTCCACAGCTGCCAGGTGATGATTCCTTTATTGGTCTTTGGATTTGTTTCCCACATGGGTCAGGCCTATGCTCTGTCCCAGGTTCTGGCTGGATTTGACACCGTTGGACGTGATGTGGAACACCTCCGACACAGGCTGGGCCAAGTCTGCATGGAGCAGCGTGTTTTCGCCATGGATCCAGGGAGCGTGTGTATTTGCACATCATTTGCCGCAGTTTGAGCCAACTTCCATCTTGCAAGTAAGCAGAGCCCAAGAGGTCAGCGTTTAGAAATGCGTTAGCAGTGCTGCCCACAGGACTGCGCACACGTGCTCGCAGAAATCAGAGCACAACGTGATTTAAGGCATTTCACATCTAGAAAGTAAAACAACCTGAACAGATAAGTTGAGGAAAGGTGTGAGTGCATTTATGTTAGAATAATCGCTGTGCCTCCCATAGACACTAGGCACTTATTAAAGTTGTAGTAAGACCAAGAGTTTACTTCTTATACATTGCAGACGCTCTCCAAGTTTCCCATCACAGTCTTCTGTTCAGTGCCAACTGTATACCGAATGCTTGTGCAAAATGATGTGACCAGGTAAGAAAGGTTGGTAAAGAGGCACATAATGGGAGAGGGGAGAGAAAGAGAAAGCTCTAGAGTAAAAGCTCATTCTGCCTAAAAACATAATTCCAGACTCGTAGGTGTGGGATTTAGCAATCTCTTCTCCTCTCCATCCTCTTGCTCCTCTGTGATAATAATTACCACGTTCAGGGCAGGGTTGGCCATGTGCATAGCCCTGAGAGCCCAGGGGATGAGGACCGTCCTCTGACCTGGGACAGTGAAGAAGCACCCCTACTTGGAACCCTGTCCCAGCAAACAGGGGACAGCATGGGTGTCTTTACTCTGGTCCTGATTCCATTTGACAAGGTGAATTGGTAACTATTTTTAATTGATTTTATTTAAATTTAACTAGGAAAAGTTCACATGACATAAAATTCAGTATATATATATATAAAGCTAATATGCAAAGTGTCCCTTCAGGAGTTCAACTGGGAGACTGAGAGTTCGATCGATCGCTATGACATGCGCTGACCACCAGGGGGCAGTGCAGAATGAAGGAAGGCTCCAGCCAGCACTCAGCAGCCAGGGAAGGAAGGCCCCGGCCTGCAGCCAGAAGGCCCCAATCAGCCCTGATCACCGACCAGGCCTAGGGACCCTGCCTGTGCACAAATTCCATGCACTGGGCCTCTAATAGGTATATAAGAATCTATATTGAACGTCTTCCTCCAAACCTTGTCCTCAGTCTCATTTCTCCTTCTTCCTGAAATCTATGCGTACACCAACAGGCACGTGCTCTTCCCCTCTTCATAAATATAAATGGAAATATAATATGCACACAGTGCTGCACCTTCCCCCTAACAGTACATCCTGAACCATTTGTTTCCCACATGGGTCAGGCCTATGCGCTGTCTAAAGTAGTACAACTCACCACATGTAAGTATCTAAAATTTAATTTTAGTGAAATTAAAATTTCAGTTCCCTGCCCTAACTGGTTTGGCTCAGTGGATAGAGCTTCGCCCTGTGAACTGAAGGGTCTCAGGTTCGATTCCGGTCAAGGGCATGTACCTGGGTTGTGGGCACATCCCCAGTGGCGGGTGTGCAGGAGACAGTTGATCGATGTTTCTAACTCTCTATCCCTCTCCCTTCCGCTCTGTAAAAAATCAATAAAATATATTTTTGAAAAAAAAATTTTTTTCAGTTCCAGACTATAAATTATATTGTAGTGCATGTTTGCTAAGAGAGTAAATCTTAAAAGTTCTTATCACAAACAAAAATAATCTTGTAACTATGTAGGATGACGGATATTAATTAATCTTATTGTGGTGATGATTTCACAATATATAGAAATATCGAATCATTATGTTGTACACTTGAAACTAATTTAATGTTATATGCCAATTATACTTAAAAATAAAATTCAGTTCCTCAGTTGTACTAGTCATGGTTCAAGTGATCAGTAGCCACACTGAGCTAGAGGATACTAAGTGGATAGCAAAGATGAGAGAAATTTCCATGGTCACAGAAAGCTCTATTGGACAGCACTATCCAGGAATGTCCTTGTTCTTTTTTACAGCTGTAAACTATTCCATTGTATAAATATTTCATAGTCAATTTCAGACAAGTAGAAACTTTTAATCCTGATTTAACATATTAGTTAAATATGATACCATGTGTGGTATCCTCCTTAAGGATTTTTTGCAATAAATCATGTTTCCCATCCCCCAAATTAAAGGGAGAAAAGAAAAAGAAAAACTGGTGTGTGAGGAGTCACTTTATGATGTTAGAATGGTTTATTTTGATTGGAGAAGGGAGTTAAGAACTAAAACACAATTAATGTTGTGATCTCACTCATATGTGGGATATAATGATCAACATAATGTAATGAACAAGGATAGATCCGGAGACAAATCACAGGGGAGGGGGGGTTAGAGAGCAACCAAAGGACTTGTATGCATGCATATTAGCATAATCAATGGACACAGACACTGGGGCAGTGGGGGCTTGCCCGGGGGTGGTCAATTGGGGAGAAAGTTTCTATCTAAAACTTTAGACAATAAATAAATAAAACACAATTAATGTTGGCTTTTCGTTATAAATAATCTTAATTTCCATTTTTTCCCATCTTTCCTCCTAAATTTAATCTGTGACCTGTCTTCTGAGAAGCTTTAAGTTCAAAAGCTTAAAGCACTGTGTGAGCGCAGGGGAACCCATCAGCCCTGAAGTGACTGAGCAGTGGAGAAGCAGGACAGGGCTGGAGATCTACGAAGGATATGGGCAGACTGAGACGGTACAAACCTCCCTGGGCAGACAGGGCTGGATCCCATATAGTCTGATGCGTAGAAACCAAAGGGTTCATTATCTACCTAGGGTTGTTTGAGAGCTAGGGAGGGAATGGAGTGGTCGCAGCAGTTTAAAAAAGCTTGAGGGAAGCTAGTTGCAAAAAAAGCCCTGTAGCAGACATGCCAGGGACTGACCAGCAGACCCTGAGTGACGGTTGAATGATTACTCTGACACTCGTTTCTGTGAAAGAGAGGGCTAAGGGACTGCCTGGCTAGAGGAACCAGACAGCTCGTTCACCTGCCTCTTTAGGCTTTTATTGTAAGAGCAGTTTGAGATAAGGTTTAACTTTTAGATACAATCAGTAGGTAAGTAATCTTGGGAGGACACATGTGTCTGCAGTGTCCTTTAAGCAAGGGCACCTAAAGATTAAGCATAAAAATTCCACACGCGCACAGGCTTGTTTGGAAAGGTCAAGGAATAATAGGGGTAGCTGCCTTGGGCCAACTCCCCTAAGTCAGAATTCCGAGAAACAGGGTGGCCGCCTTCCGCCAACACCCCGTTTTGGAATTTCCTCCTTATAAACTTTCCAACCAAGTCCCATGCTTCCCCACACAGACACAGTTGTTTAAATAGCCTAACATTACAACCTGGAGCTGTGTAATAGAAATAGCCATTCATTAAGAAAAACTGCTATATAACTGATCAAGGTAAAGGCATTACAATATTTTTAAATGAAAAAAATTACTAGAGTTAGAAAAAGATTTCACCGTATATAATAGGTAACTTACTTAGTCAAGGCTGCCTCAAAATTGAAAATGTTGAGTTGCTTATTACTTAAAACATTATGAGTTTGGTGGACAACACCATGACAGGCATACTTTATGGTCATCTAAAGAGCTTGTAGAAATAGGAATAAGAAATTCTAAAGAAAATGAAAAAAATAATAACAGAAGTGGTAATTATGTAGGAAAGGGGGGTAAGATGGAACAGATAAGGGAAAAGCTGAAAGAATGTTTTCAAAGTGTATCTTTTTACAATGCACCAACTTATAAACCATAAGAATGTAGTAGCTGGTCAACAATAAAAATACCAAACATAAATTAAAATCGACAAATTTATTAAATAAGAACAGCATAAGTATCAGGCTAATATGAGTATAATGTTTTCATAAATATGGGTATTTTAGTGATTATAAATGTATCCAGTGTTATAACTTTATTATATATATTTTACTTAGTGTCCATCTCTGTACTTCATTAGATAGACATGAGTGCAGAGAATTTGTTTTCTTTTGAACCTGGTTCCTACTAAGTTCTCAGAAACATGGTGGATAAATGAATAAGGTTTATGTTACTGGTAACGTTACTTTATCCTTTCTTCTTCTTGACTAGGTGCTGATCTGTGGACATTTTAAGGGAATGAAAATTAAGCCTGGCTCAATGGGAAAGCCTTCGCCTGCTTTTGACGTTAAGGTTGTGCAGACACCTCCAGGAGATTAAACAGCCTGCAGTTCCCACCCCACTGCTCCCTTCCCCTACACTCCTAGTTTGGGTGATAACTTCATGCTATCTTAACTTCCATGGACTAGAAATGTTAGTTTGTTGGTCTCCATTTTTTTTTCTGTTCCAATTTTAGTATATGTGCTGCTGAAGCACCCATTTTTTTTTAAGTAATTCTAAGCATTGTATAAATATTAACCCATTTAATTTCCAGGAGCCCATGAGAGACAGAGTAATATTAGAACCACTTTACAGATGAGGCCCAGCGAGGGTAAAGAATGTACCCGAGGTTGGACAGGAGCTGCTGGTGCTGGGACTCAACCCCAAGCGACCTAGTCCAGTCTGTGCTCCACACAGCACCACACTGCCTCCTGGCGAGTCACGTGGGCAGGAGAGGCTGCAGCATTCTCCCTCTTCCCGCAGGCGGGCCTGTAACCTCTGCCATGTCCACCCCTATCCCTGAGTGGCCTCCTCTATCCCACCAGCGCCCTTGTACAGGTTAGGACTATTCTTAAATCAACCCAGATAATGCTAGGGATAGGAAAGGAACTTACCTACTATACAAAAGAAAACAGGAGCAACAAAAACGCTAAGCAGACAAACTGACAGAGAGCTCAGACCAAACTTAACGGAGGGCTGTAGATTAGACCAATGCTTCCCAAGCTTATTCAAGCGTCAGAATCACATGGCACTTGCTAAAAATACTGATTTTTCCAGCCCCTTCCCTGGACAGTCCGAGTCAGTGGGTTTAGGGTGGGAGCCTGAAATCTGTGTTTGAAACAGGCATCCAGGTAGTTCCCGTGATCAGGTAAGTTTGAGAAAGTTTAGGTGACATTGATTGCTGACATCCCTGTTTCTATAAAGCAGATGCTGGGCCCTTTCCTCCCCTCTCAGTTGCTGTGGGAACCTGTCTAAAGGTGGGATTGCCTAGCGGTTCAGGTCTGGCTGCTGTTCGCGTGGGGAGTCTGGTGAGCTGGTACCTAGCTACGAGCAGCCGCACCCACACTCTGGTAGCTGGGGATGTGCCCCAACCAGCTGGATATCAAGTTCGTGCAACTTCAAGGCCCAAAGCTCCTCATGTTCTTGTTTAACATCTTGGGACCTTGAGCTATGAGGAATGTGACTCTCCAGAGACAAAGCATTTTGTCTTTCCCCAGTCATTAGAGAGTGTGTGCAACTCCTAAACCCCTCCTCCTGTCAGTAATTCCTTCATACCTGGAACCAAGTATTTCTTTAGGTGACTGGGTGGGAATCCATATTTTTTATTTACAAGAACTAAATGGTAAGACTTTACATTTACATTTCCTTTGCCTTTCAAGTTTCCCATTGGGGACATAAGCCCTCTTCCCTCTGTAAAGTGCCAGCTACGAATTATGTCCTCCTTTTCCACACAAGCCACATCTCAGGCTTAAAGGTTCTTGGTGGGTGAATATAAAAGCCGTCGAGTGTTCATATTTGAGAACAGCTAAAGTCATTTAGAGCAAAATCCGGTACATAAGATAAGCAATCAGCCCGGGAAATGCCCTGGCTGGGTGGCTCACTTGGTTGGGGCTTCATCCCATACACCAGAAAGTTGTGGTTGGGGCTTGTATGGGAGTCAACCAATCAATGTTTCTCTCTCATGTCAATGTTTCTCCCTCTCACTCCATCTTTCTCCTTCCTTTCCCCCCTCACTCTCTCTAAAACATCCTTGGGTGAGGCCAAAACAAAACCACCTTGGACTGTGCTCCTGGAGAGATTCCAGAGTGTCGATGCAAGGGCAGGGTCTGGCGCCTGAGTGCTGAGCTGAGTCGGCGCAATCATGCTCTGTTGCTTAAACCTCTGCACCTCAGTCTCCTCATGTGTAAAGTGAGCTTCACAATAGTTCTAACCGAGCAGGACTATTGTAAGGACTAAAGGAAATGAGACATCTGCAGTGCATAAAGCATTCAGATTTAGTACTTAGAATAAGTGCTCAATAAATGCTCACTTCTCAGGGGCTTGGGGAAGGGTCGGAGGGCAAGGCTTGAAAGGGCTGACCCTCCACTGTTTCCGCTGTTGCTGACATCGCGCTGCTGAAGTCAGGTGTTGTTTGTCCCACAGTTTGAAAACCAGTAGTGAATGTCTATTTCAGAGGAAAAGACAATCGAGATACATTGCTAAATGATACAAGCATTTTGCAAAAACAGTACATTATAAAATGATCCTATTTTTTCCTATGTCTATATTGTCTCCAAAAATATTTCCAAAATGTGATTATTATTGGATGGTAGAATTAAAGAAAACTTTTATTCTTTTTTTTCACATGTTGCTAACCTGCATTTTATATGTTTTGCAATAAGAATTTAACTAAGTACATTTCTCTGAAGAATTTAAAGTATTAAAATTTGTTTGGATTTTTTAAATGGCAATAAATCAAAACAAAACAAGCAAAGCAAAGATTAAGAGGTGGCATTAAGTAAAAATTCCCTTAAATTGTTCTGTTTTATCCTAGATTTTAGATGCAAATGGCAATGTTCTACCTCCTGGACAAGAAGGAGACATTGGCTTTCAAGTTGTACCGAAGCGACCACTTGGCCTTTTCACTCATTACGTAGTAAGAGGCTCATCAAATAACGTCTTCTTTTCTATTTGTTTCTCAAAAGTCCTTGGTCATGATCTCTAGTTGCCACAAAGCATACCTCGGATAGGTACTTGGCCTTTTCTTGAGAGACCCATGTCCTAAGACAGAGAACTGGAAAAGCACCCCCATGCTTGGTGGAGAAGGGCTCGGGCTCCCCAGGCTAGACCACGCCTCCAGGCCACGCTGCGGGCGGAGGGCAGCCCAGAAGGAGATGCCTCTCACTCACACTGGGCCTCTCTGCCATCCAACACCACATCATTTCCCTGGAATCCAGTGAGTGGTCTCCCTTCTTGCAGGGGTGAGAGGGATAGAGAACGGGGCAGTAACACAAGTGCCCTTCTTCCACTGAGGGCCTTCCAAGCTCCTTACAAACGTATTCCCCTCCCTAATCACAGTATACAAATGAGTGCAAGATTTACACCAATTCATCCAAGGCCCAGGCTCTACTTGCTGGTGAATTTTAAATAATTTAGCAACACATCATTTTTCTTCCTGCCCAAGTTACAGGACCAATCCTATTTCCGTGTAAAACCAGACAAAATACCATAAAAACCACTGCTGTCCTTTGAATTATTAGGTGTTAGTTCTTTCTTTGAACTGAGTGTTCCTTCTCTCACTCCTCCCAGTGTTCGATATTAGCCACTTAGCCAAAGGCAGCCTGCTCCTCTGAGCTCGAGCTCCTGCAGTGGGTACTTTGCGATCTACCTACAGAATTCTCTGGGTAGAAGCATGCCTGGTCTTTGTAACTAGTTCACCTTCCGTATGTCACATGCTGGCTCCTCTTCATTCTAAGGCTTCTCAAAGGTATCAGACTTCTTTCTCCTGAGCACTTAAGAGTTCAATGGAACAGAAAAGTCACATTCACTAAACAAAATGCTATTTGTTTCACAGGATAATCCTACAAAAACAGCTTCAACTCTCCGAGGCAACAACTACATCACTGGGGACAGAGGCTATATGGATGAAGATGGATATTTCTGGTTTGTTGGGAGATCGGATGATGTCATATTATCCTCCGGGTAATTTCTTCAGCTGTGCATTTGTCTACGTGAACTGGTCATCCGTGTTCCGGGGTGAACCTGCTGCTCACATCATAAACGTCTGTGTGTGTCTTACCTCCAGTTACCGAATCGGGCCCTTTGAGGTGGAGAGTGCCCTGGCGGAGCATCCTGCGGTGGCGGAGTCGGCTGCTGTCAGCAGCCCAGACCCCATCAGAGGAGAAGTAAAAGAACGATTCGTCTCCATTTATAATGTGTTAGCAGCCCGACACATACCTTAAATCATAGTTCATTGGGACAGAATTACCCACATGATTCATTCACTTACTGTGCAAGTCAGATAGGAAGAATTGCTACAGAATAAAACCGCAAAACATACTCTAAGGAATTTGAACCCTCTCCAAGGAGGGCCAGGGCAAAGACGGCATGAATGCCAACAGCCCAGCTTGCACCAGGCAGGGTGTCGGAGGCCAGCTGGACAGGAACACGCTGGTGCCCTGAGGTCTGGGGACTCCACGGTCCCGGAGTGGCCGAGGAGAACAGGCTGGGTGGGAGCAAGGTCAGAGACAGGAGCCGAGGCAGCCAGAAGCAGGCCGTGGAGGTCAATAAGCAGAGGTTCAGGAAATAAGCTCTAAATAAGACAGGAGTCCTGACAGCTCACTCCTATGGGGCTGACCACCTGGCTGTGTGGGTAAAGGTTTCATGCCACTCTTCAGGTGCCCTCTGCCAGGCAGACTCCCAATATTCCAGATGGATAAGAGCAGGGAGCAGATTCAGCGATGGCGGAAGTTTGTCCCTTTGCACTGAATTCCACCAGAAGGGTTTTGTGAGTCTCGGCTCCTCCTGAACCTGCCCCCAGCCTCAGTCATCATTAATTGTGTCCACCCAGATGCTAACTTGACAGCTGAGCCTTTAGGACTGGGTTGGCTTGGGAGTCAGCTCATATCCCAGAGTATAAGGCAACAGAGTGGGTGTAGGTCCCCCCTTCCTGCACAGGGGTCAAGTGAGGGAGAGATTGACCAGTTCCACTTGCCAGTGTGGGTGAGCGCAACGCCTCCTGCGGGGGGCGTCCTGGGTTCCCCCTGGTGGCAGGCCTGTCCTGGCTGTGCTCCTCGCCCTCCAGGCCTCACACTGAGTAGCACGTTCCAGAAGAATTTACCAAACAGATAAGATGAAGACTTTAGGACAATATCCAAAATATTGATCATTTTTATCTACCTACCACAGTCTTGCAACTTATTATGTGTATTTTCACACTATTGTCTATTTTGCAATATTTTAGCTTTAAAATTCCTAATGCTATTTGCTAATCATAAATACTTTGACAGTTTTATGATAACTTAATTTTTCTCAGGTAAAATGAGTACCCGGGTACATGCCCTTGATCGGGAATCAAACCCGCAACCCTTTGATGCACAGGCTGATGCTCTAACCACTTAACCACACCAGCCAGGCCTATTACTTTGCTTTTAAAATTTTATTTTCAGCCAATGACTTCATTTGCCTATTTAGCTACATTTTCACAATTTTCAAAAAAGTGTGTTTTCCACAAGGCTTCTTTAAAAGATACCACTTCAAACAGGGACAAAGGGGTGGGTGGCTTTGTTACCACTGTCACTTCTGAAGAGAACATCTAGGTGTGAAGTGCTGTTTAACGTTGGTTGGAACGTGAAATACAGAGCAGAGAAATGTTTATCCAGGTTGCTGGGTTCCTAATTTTCTGGATCACATAGCTCTGTGGAATTTGAGGGCCACTGGACCAATGCAATGATGAAATTGTTGTGTATTTGCACCATCCAGTACAGTAGCCACCCTTGTACGACTGAGGAAATTTTATTACCTTCCACTTTAATTTGAATGTAAGTAGCTATATGTGACTAGTGGCTGCCATTTGGAATAGTACAACCATAGACTTTTCCTATAAACATGCAACATTTTGCATAGTATTTCAGAAAAATTTGAAGCACACTTAGGGCTAAAAATATCTTGTGCTCCTACTATTACAACTAATAACACCTAATGTTTTTGAGGACTTAGCGTGTTCCAGGTATTTCTGTAAGCCCTACACCCTGTTTTCCTAGAGAAGGGAACTGAGGCACAGAGAGATGTCCGAACTTGGCCAGGATCATACAACAAAGTATGACGGGAACCCAGGTTGTCACATTTGGGTCCATGCTCTTCACCAGGTCAGGTTGTTCCTTATTAATTTATCATTTTCTATAATGGTTTATAAAAGACTTTTAAAAAGATAGATTTTATCCAAGGCGTAGAAGTCACAATATGCAAATCAGTAATTACAAACATTAGTTCTAAATATAATTTGCCTCTCAGTGAACAATTCACTTATAACAAGGATAAATTTTTTTAAATTGATTTTAGAGAGAGAGGAAAGAGAGGGAAACATCAGTGTGAGAAACATACATCAGCTGCCTTCACACCCCGTACTGGGGATCGAGCCACAACCCAGGCATGTGCCCTGACTGGGGACTGAACCAGCAACCTTTTGGTACATGGGATGACACCCAACCAACCAAGTCACCCTGGCCAGGGCCAGTAAGGATACTTTTTTTATTTTTTTAAAATATGTTTTATTGATTTTTTACAGCGAGGAAGGGAGAGGGATAGAGAGTTAGAAACATCGATGAGAGAGGAACACTGATCAGCTGCCTCTTGCACACCCCCCCACTGGGAAGATGCCCGCAACCAAGGTACATGCCCTTGACTGGAATCGAACCTGGGACCCTTCGGTCCGCAGGCTGACGCTCTATCCACTGAGCAAAACTGGTCAGGGCGGGGATACTTTTTTTTAAAAAAATTCATAAAAATGTTGATAAAAGTAGCAGAGCAGGCATAAATACAAATGATTTTAAGAAATGTCAAAATATAGATAGGATAAATTTATATACATGCATATACATACACACAGTTGCACAACTGCCCCATTGCACATGTAAATTAGAAATGTTCAAGGGGTTTTGGTAAAGACAAAATTGAATAATTATTCACAAAATGTTATAAAATTGCTCATTGGTATACAATGATCATTTCTCCTAACTGGTTGCCCAGAGTGGCTTATTGTTTCAAACAGTTCATTTTCAATCGATATTTGCTCTCCGACTATGGTGGATGGTAACGCGGGCAGCTTACCTTCAAGCTGAACTTGTTCACGTCGCAAACTCCGCTTTCCTACCTGTGAGTAAGGTCTCAGCCTGTTCAGTGCAGGATATTTCATCATAAAAGCTGCAGGCGCCGCCTGGGCCGTGCCAAGGAAGCGCCCGCACAGAGTGCTGGCTGGGGGCTGGATTTGGTGGCGCACTGCTATTTGACTCACCGAGTTGCCTCTCGGGGAGGCAGTGCTGTGGTACCACTTAGAATCTCAGTACACTCTTCAAGTGGCCACACAGGAGGGTGGCCTTCTGCCTTCTCCATTAAAGGTCCAAACACTCTGGGCAGAGCTTTACAAAAACTGTGCAAGGAAGGGTGAACTTTGAACAAGATTTCTGAGCATAGAGTAATGAACGCTTCCCTGTGTTCTGCCAATTAGAGAGCAAGGCCACCCCACATCTACTCTTGTTCCTCAGGGTCAGGCAAGTGGGCCAGAGAATAGCAAAGCGGCTGTGGGCATCTTCACAACCTTGTGCCAACAGAAGTGTCTGGAATAGAGTGCATGGCCTCAACGCAGTGTTCCTTCACCAAGCATAAGGCAGGCCCAGTGCGAACTGTCAAAGGTGGGGCTAGGCCAGGGGTGGGCAAACTTTTTGACTCGAGGGCCACAATGGGTTCTTAAACTGGACCGGAGGGCCGGAACAAAAGCATGGATGGAGTGTTTGTGTGAACTAATATAAATTCAAAGTAAACATCACTACATAAAAGGGTACGGTCTTTTCTTTTTTTAGTTTTATTCATTTCAAACGGGCCGGATCCGGCCCGCAGGCCGTAGTTTGCCCACGGCTGGGCTAGAAGCTAGGTTCCATCAGCCTGGAGACTGTGCTTCGTGTATTGCTGTTTCCAACAGGACACTTTTTTTTTTTTTGGTTAATTCTCACCTGAGGATATTTTTCCATTGATTTTAAGGGAGAGGGAAAGACAAAAACATCAATATGAGAGAAACACATCGATTGGTTGCTTCCTGCATGAGGCTCGACCAAGGCCTGGGCTGGGGAGGAGCCTGCAACCAAGGCACATGCCCTTGACAGGAATTGAACCCTGGACCCTTTGGTCCGCAGGCCGATGCTCTATCCATTGAGCCAAACCGGCCAGGGCAATAGGAAACTTTTCGACAAGGACAGAGACAGGTAAGAAAGTGGAGTTCAAAATGCAGTTAGATGAGAAGGTTCAAGGGTAGATCATAAACAAAGCAGGGGTCCCAGAACCTCTCTTGTATTAGATACAGAACAGAAGGTCTGAGAGCCACCTGGCTGAAGAGCCCAGAGCTAGGATCAAACCCTGTTAAACCTCCTTGCCTTCCACCAAGCACTTAGATTCCCAGAGAAAGTAAACAAGACACACTAAAGCATGAAAATACACAACTGATCTTACTGTGTTTCAAATATTTATTTTAGGTAGTAAAGGCTTTTATTGTTCTGAACCCCAATTACAAGTCACACGGCCAAGAACAACTGAAAAAAGAGATTCAGGAACATGTAAAAAAAACTACAGCACCTTACAAATACCCCAGAAAGGTAGGTATTCTATTACGATATTTGCTTAGTGTTCTGGAAAACTTATTTTATTTTAATGAACATTCTCCTCAAACATACTATAGCAAATGACATGGATAAGAATCAGGACCTTTGAGATTAAATGAAACTCTTAAATCGAATTTGTTGGGTCATCTAGCTCATCATCAGACTTATAGTAAAATATTAAATGTCAAGAAAAATCTCAACAGTATCTCTTTTTCTCCCTTTTTGATGTTACCAAAATCTCATCCCAATGTGTGTCCTATTCTCCACCTAGAGTTCATATAATTTGACTTTGTCTAAAAATAAAAACTTCTGGGCTAATTTTCTTCTCTTGATTCCAACAGGTAGAATTTGTTCAAGAGCTGCCAAAGACTATCAGTGGGAAGATAAAAAGAAATGAACTGAGGAAGAAAGAATGGGAATCTATTTAAATCCATTCCATTAATTATCACAGCACCTATAAAACAAAGACTATAAAAACCACCAGATTATGAAGAGGTGATAAAAATATGATGCTTATAAACTACTGATTTTAAATACATTGTGGTTATAACATAAGAGGCTGAATTTTGAAATAAAAAAGTAAATTCCTGCCCTAGCCAGTTTGGCTAAGTGGATAGAGCGTCGGCCTGCGGACTGAAGGGTCCCAGGTTCGATTCCGGCCAAGGGCACATGCCTGGGTTGTGGGCTCGATCACATCGGGGGCGTGCAGGAGGCAGTCAATGATTCTCTCTCATCATTGATGTTTCTATCTCTCTCCCTTCCTCTCTGAAATCAATAAATATATTAAAAAGAAAAAAGTAAATTCCTCCGCATTGGTGTCAGTGTTCTTATAACTTGATAATACAAAAAGAATACCATCAATTGATGAGAAATTTTAAAACGTATAATATAGAAGCAGTTTATGGACCAAATCTCTGACCTGTTGGTTTTCAAATCTTAGTTGAACAATTCTTCTAATATGCTAATAATATACAAATCAGAACCAATCTTCAAGCATTGAAACAAAACTGAATAACTTGTAAGTTTTTAGAAGCACAAAAAAGTCAAATTACCATAATTCTTTTTTTTTTTTTTAAACATATTTTACCGATTTTTTACAGAGAGGAAGGGAGAGAGATAGAGAGTTAGAAACATCGATGAGAGAGAAACATCGATCAGCTGCCTCCTGCACATCCCCCACTGGGGATGTGCCCGCAACCCAGGTACATGCCCTTGACCGGAATCGAACCCGGGACCTTTCAGTCCGCAGGCCGACGCTCTATCCACCGAGCCAAACCGGTTCCGGCAAATTACCATAATTCTTAAAGAAGAAATACTGACCTGAAAAATAGGCTAAGAATTTTTATTAGTCAAATTTTTATTCAAATAACTTAAAATAGTTTAAAATTAATTTTAAGGTTTAATTATAAAAGAAAGATATCATATACTATTATTGCTTATTATCCTATACTAGGGGCCCAGTGCATGAATTCCTGCACCTTGAAAGGAACTGTGGGCCGTGAGGCTGCGGTGGGCACAGGGGTGGGTCCCGGCCCATCCTCCACGCCCCCGCCTGGCCCCTCCCGCCATGGTCCCCCAATCCTGTCTGCCAGCCGCCCCACTCGCACCTGCTGATGGCACAGAGCGATTGGGGCTAGTGCTAGCAGCGGGTGCAAGTGGGGCTGGTGCTGTTAGCGGGTGCAAATGGCGGCCAGCAGCTGCCACTCGCACCCACTGTTGGTGCTGAGTGACTGGGACTGGCACCAGACACCAGCTGCAGGTGCAAGCGCAGCTCCGGCGCCAGCAGTGGGTATGAGCAGGACTGTCGCTGGCAGCGGGTGTGAAAGGCGGCTGCCAGCCCCAATCGCTCCTCAGGAGCAGGGGGAGGTGGAGAAGGACTGAGAGGCGACCGGGGCTGGCAGCCACCGCTTGCACCCACTGACGGCACTATCAGCAGGTGTGAGTGGTGGCTCCGATGCTGGCAGCAGTGCGGGGGGGGGAGGGGGTGGGGGGGGGGTGGGACCACGGTGCGTTGGAGCAAAGAATTTTCAGTAACCACCAGAGGCTCTCCCCAATGACAGTGACCAGTGCCCCCACTTTGGTCTGGCACCCCCACTTACCTGCTCCACCATCCCACCACAGCTGATGCCCGCACATTCCGTGCTCTGCCGCCTTCTGCCTACAGCCACCATGTTCCACCATGACCCCCCTGGTGGTCAGCACATGTCATATCGACTGGTTGTTTGGTTGTTCCACTGTTTGGTCTATTTGCATATTAGGGTTTTATATATATCCTAATATATAAAAAGCCAGGGGCAGGGGCCGTAATGACCAAAACGACCGGATGGATGACCGAACAACAGGCTAGGGAGCTGAGGGAACGGGAAGAACGGTCACCATGAGGGGACCCCTACCGTGATCATGGGGCGTGGCCCGGCCTTCGGCCCCCCTCCTAGCCGAGGACGCCAGAGTCTGTTCTGGACCTAGGGCTGCACTCTCCCCGCGAGCGACTCGGAAGCTGCCAGTGTCTAACCGCCAGTCTCCGGGAGGTGAGAGTGCGTCCACCATCCACCGTCCACCAAAAAGTATGACCACTGAACCGTTCAGGCTCAGTGCAGGCACAGGCCTGTGGCTCACAGGTGGAGGCCAGACCAAAACAAAACAGCAGAAACACCCTGCCCACCTCGGCAGGTGCAGCTGCAGTCCACGCGGCCTGGGCAGTGTAGAAAGCACTACCTTCTCCCGGGTCCTGTGCTGGCATCGCCGCCTCGCTCACCCTCCAGCCCCCCTGAGTCCTGACAGTGAAGTGTGTAGGGCATCCTGCAGGAGTTGTACCGTTCTGGGTGCTTCTGCCCAAAGACACCCTTTGTGATGAATTCAGAGCCACATCTCACTTCCCAGGAGACTGGAAGAACCATGTAAAAGGAATTCGACAAAAACTTTCCACATCTATTTATTCTTTTGAATCCATAAAACGACCTTTAGAAAAAAGCATTTGGGCCACCTAAGAGAGAATGCACTTTCTGGCCAGAGCATGCAGGATTCTTTTGCCCAACAGGTTAAAGGAAGCAGAGAGCTGGCACAGTGGAAATGGCCCTGGTGCCCTATGAGACCGCGGGAATGGGGTTGCAGAAATTCCACAAGCCTCTTGCCACCTTCTCCTTTGCAAACCACACCATCCAGATGCACCAGGACTGGAGGCAACTGGGAGTCGCAGCTGTGGTTTGGGACGTGGTAAGCAAATCGTGGGGGGCCTCTGAAAACATCCGCAATTGATTATAAGACTGGTCTTTATTTAAAAAGAAATAAAAGAACAGCTTTGTTGAGATATAACTCATATACTGAGTTTTTTTTTAAAAGTAAATTCAGAGTGGTACAACCATCACCATGCTCAATTTTTAAATATTTTCATGATTCTATCCCCTCCAAAAAAACCTTACACCCACTAGAATCACTTTCCTGATCGTCTTCCCCAAAATAGACTGCATTTTAAGGGTGGGTAAAGGGAAGTTGAGGGAAGTTAAAATACTGCACAAAGGATCTGTAAAATGACAAAGCCCAAAGTGAAGATCATGTGTTTTTTTTTAATTTTTTTTTTTTATTTCAGAGAGAAAGGGAGAGGGAGAGATAGAAACATCAATGATAGGAATAACTGATCAGCTGCCTCCTGTAGGCCCCCTACTGGGGATCGAGCCCGCAACCCAGGCATGTGCCCCTGACCAGAATCAAACATAGGACCCTTCTGTCCATAGGCCAATGCTCTCTCCATTAAGCCAAACCAGCCAGGGCCCATGTGTTTTAAGTTCTGCATGTTTGTAATGATCCTCAAATCTATACTAATAAAAGGGTAATATGCTAATTAGAGTGGACATCTTCCGGACGTCCTTCCAGACAAAGCCACAGCAGCTGCAAGGGCCAAGGCTCAGGCCGGCAGTGGCAGCAGCAGTGGGGTGATGGGGGTGATGCCTTCCCCTGATCCGCCAGGTCACCTCCCGCAGAGTGAGGCCAGACGGGGGGCCGAGGCAGAGGCAGTTAGGGGCAATCAGGCCAGCAGGGGGGCAAGGTAGGGGCGATCAGGCTGGCAGGGGCGACCAGGCCGGCAGGCAGAGGGTTTAGGGGTGATCAGGCAGGCAGGCAGAAGTGTTAAGGGCAATCAGGCAGGCGAGCGGTTAGGAGCCAGCAGTTCCAGATTGCGAGAGGGTTCGGGCCTAAACTGGCAGTCGGACATCCCCCGAGGGGGTCCCAGATTGGAGAGGGTGCAGGCCAGGCTAAGAGACACCCCCCCACACACATGCACGGATTTCGTTCACCGGGCCTCTAGTAGATAATAAAAGGCTAATAAGCAAATTGTCCCCTCGGGAGTTCGACCAGGAGTTCGATCACTCACTATGACGTGCACTGACCAGCAGGGGGTGGCGCAGAACATGGCAGGTGATCAGTGTCAGCAGGGGGGCACTGAAGGAGCGAGGGAAGGATGAGGCAGGGAGGCTGAGAACCTGATGGGCCCTGACCGCCGGCCAGGTCTAGGGACCCTACCTGTGCACAAATTTCATGCACCGGGCCTCTAGTATTTAATAAATGCAGTTTATAAAATATTTCACTTGTGGTTCTTCAAAGTATGATAAATTTGGCAAATGCCAATATATGAAATATAAATAAAATAGTGTTAGGCATTTTAAGATTACTCATGTTTGGGAATTCAAGGAACAATCAGGATTCATACATGAACAAAAGACAAAAGTTAGATGGCTGGTGACTGAATTTAGAAACCTGTGAAATTTGTTTCTCTATTTTCAGTGTGTGTGTAATAGTCCAAGTGCAGTCTACAGAGCTCAGATAATGCTGTTCTCGTAACTTGCAGCCCTATATGCTTTTCTCTTTACATCAAACGTCATACTAAAGTAAAAACATAGTTTAGATATAAAGTTCATCAATTCCTCATTGAAGGTCTGAGTCTCAAAGCATTTTTAGTAGGAACATTTACCTTTTGGTCACAAACATGGCTTATTTCTGGAGAACTAGAGGTGAGTGCCCCTGAGGAATGAGACCAAATTGTGCTGTTGGCCCTCTCCTTTTGAAGTGTTTGTTCCCATTTGAAATAACCACAACATTTTCTGTTTTCTTGGTATTTCCCAATAGGGCAACAGTAGAAGACTCTCCCATGGTTTGGTCCATTATTAGAAACAACAAGTCTCTTAGACCTCCGGCCACACCTGCATAATGGAGGTGTCACCTTCCCACTCTTCCAAGGCTCTCGTAGGTTAACTGTAGGAGTGAAGACAGAGGAGAGGAGCTTCCGAGACCTCACTGGGGAGCTATCACATGATGTCGGCTTTTCTTCATGAATAGTGAAGGGCTGCTTTTTTGCTAGGGGGACAGTTGGGGGACTGGGTGGGTTCCTTTTAGTACCACCTAAAAGAAGACATTTCCCCAGAACTGAAGGGTAAGACACACTGGCCTTAACACTGTTCAAACTGCTTGATTTGCACTCAGGTAATTTAAAGTTAGAAACATCTGACCTTGGATCTTTGGCTTCTTTTACATTATAAATAGTAGTATGTGGACTCTTATACACAACCAACTTAGAGGTCTCAGATTGTTGAGGAGTTTCTTCTGTGCTTTCAAAGTTCTCATAACTTAACAATTCAGATTCTTTTAGAACCATTAACCTTTCTCCAGACTTCAATGAAGTAGCTAAGTTTGAGTCACTAATGAGCGGCATATCATCTATATTTTGCTCAGGCTGAGATGCTGGCAGTAAAGCTACATCCTCCCAATCAGTCAACATAGGCAAACAGTCGAGAGCAGAACTCATCTCCACATCAGAAACATGATTAACAGATGAAATGGTAGTTGAAACAAGCACCAAATCAGAATCCGCTGTGGAAGCCTTAGATTTGGCAGGAAATGCTTGATGTTCGTCTTTGATTTGCTTCTGCATAGGTGCACAGACGCTGGGGCACTGCAGCTGCCCCAGAGAAGAAGACTGAGTAGTCAAGAGAGAGAAACAGTTTTTGACATTGCGAAGACCTACTTTTAAATTGCTCTTTGGTTGTAACTCATCTTGGTTTACTTTTATAGAATTCATACCATCAGACCTCATTTGCACTTTTTCATGATAATGTATTGTATTTTTAGGCTCCCTATCACATATGCTGGGACCCCGACTGCTTCTATTGCAGACTGATGTTTCTTCAACTTGATTGGTATTCAAATTTCTGCCCAAAATGTTGGGATTCTTCTTAGTGGGAACCTATAATTCCACAAGCAAATCCAATAGCTTCAGCAACTGTGCATTCAGAATTTCTTTAGTACACATTATATGATATGACAAAAAGAGAAAAACACCATCGATTGACATAAATGATTACACTCATGACATCTACATTTCAATGAACCTACAATTACTTCTGAAATTTGAGATGACAGAATAAAGGAGTAAGACGCCACTGACCTTGTTCCAGGACCTTGTAATTTTCATTAAGCAACCATCCCTGATCATTTTCCAAGCAAGAAGTGCAGTATTCCGAGAATCATCCAATCCTGAGGAAATAAATATCAAGCACTATCTTTAGTAGTACCACAAAAAGAAATACAGCAACAACAAAAAACTCACCACTGAAATGGAAATTGGAATCGTTAGTTTTATGACCACTTACTAGTTTTAACCATGATAAGTTGGTCTGTGGATAGCTGTGGCAGCCTTACCAATGAAAGACAAAGTCTCCCACATTTACAGAGGAAGAGGTGAAAATCTGTTAGGTCACAAAAATGTGACCAAGATTCTGAGGCGCCATGTTTTGTGAGTTTCGCTTAGTTTTTCACTAGTCCACTGTATTATTTGGGCATTTGTTTAATTCCATTTGATTGGCTAATTTTTTTCATTCTTTTTTAGCAACTGGACAGCCATTAGATGGCAATCTTTATCTTACACGCAAATGTCATTTGAGTCTTAGAAATGATTTAAATTGTATAGATTAGAAGGAGCTTTTTCTAGGCTGAAGTATATTCCTTATTAATGACATCACAAAAAATGAGATTCACATAAAACACTTTATAAAAAATAAAATTACTTACATAATAAATTATACTAACCAGAATGTTCCCGTCCCAAGAATTCGATTCCCACCTCCTGCAGGGCGCCACTCAGTCCTTTTGGTTTTCTCCTATAGAAAATCTAATAAATAAATGAAGACATGTTTAAGAAAATGATTACTATTTGGAAGACTATGTATGAACCATTCTTCATAATTTTTAGTTCTAGATTTGAATTGCTTATTTTTGTTATGTTGTCTTTACATGCTATAAGGATTGTATTTATGTGAATGTTTCAAAAGAAAATATTTTATTTGTAGAAATCCATACCTATGTGTGGAATAAAGTTTAATCATTTTTCAACAGAAGGAAAGTGAACATGCCCCCACCTTTGACCCTTACCTTGTAAGTTACTCTGAGATCAATCCAAGCATTTAAGAACACAGGTTTAAACAGCTGCTTCCTTTTACACTCATACTCCAGGCAAACACCCAAGTCCCAGTCTGCATTAAGTATATTAAAACAGAACAAAGCAATGATGCCAGCCGTTTTTATGCTATCATCATTTATAAATAAAGTGCTGAAAAATGATATAAAATAGTAAGATTTAGAATTATACAATATGTAATACTATATATATATACTATAATAATGTAGTTAATATATAATAGTAAGATTTAATTGCCTTGTTAATAGCTAACAATTATTCACTTTACATAACTTATTGTTAAGAAATTAGATTGGTAACTAAGCTTCAAAATGATTAAAGATCCAATAAGACATACTGAATAGTTCAGAAAGAATAAGATGTGAAGTAATAAGGCCTATATGGAGAAGGTTATCTGCTTTTAACATTCTAAGAGAATATTCATGTAATTGAGAAATCAAACATAGCAACAGAAACCAAGTATACTTACTAATAATGCTAAGCAGCAATGACACAGCGTTGTTATCATTACTATTAATGGCAATGCTGTATCACAGGCATACAAAAGATCTACTTTACATGGCCTGTTTCTTCCTTGATGGCTACATTAGTAAGTGTGAAATAAAAGCAAAGGGTATGAGTTGAACATGGACTCTTTTTATTCAAGATTGTATAAAATAGCATGATAAGAGTTTTCACTAAATAATCTTTACCTGGATTCAGAAGAACAAAGCGAAAATCAAGAAAGATTCTTAAAGTTAAGGCTTAAAGTTTGCAGGCATCCCAGAATGGTAATTTTAAAAATATGAATAAATTTACTTTTCTGTTGGGCACTTGGATTTCTCTTCCTAGCCCAGAAGGTTAACAAGTATAATTCTTACTAGAGATAATTACATATTACATAAGAGTGATGCTACAAACTTCTTTACCTGACCAAGTAACAAATGCACACAACTTGACTTCTGAAGTAGGTAGATCTGAAACCCCAGTAGCAAAGATAATTTTCTTCTGTTGTTGAATCTTCTGAATCCATTTACAGAACTGAGATAAGCAAATCTTCAGAGGGACCCCTTCGTCAACTTGGGCCTGAACAGAGTCACAAAGTCTGAATTCAACAATCGAATTTCATAATTATTGGCCACACAGCTGGTAATTAGGCCCCGTAGGTACATAACAAAGAAGAGGTTCCACTGACAAAGAATTTACCTGGTGAAAAGATGTTGTAACACATGAGAAAGAGATAATTCAATGATTAGAACTCTATAAAGTAAGAAAAATTAGGTTACCAATCTAAAATCGCACAGAAAAATAATCCAGACCACCAGAAATTTGATGTATTTAATTTCCATAAAATAGATTTGATTTTCATTTTTACCACACTATTCTTTCTAATTTTTAAAGATTCTAATGGACTTCTGGAGGGGACATTATTTCTTCTAACACTGAATAAACCTAGCTCCAAATGGTATATAGCTTTTATTTTTTGAAATTGACTTATGAATTTTAATATTTGCATCATACCTGCTTGTTTATTGTTTGGGGGCTGGGGCAGTGAGAAGGAAGGAAGGGCATACCTGCTTTATGCCTGTCAATTCCATGCAAAATTCAGAAAGAATTGGATGTTCCTGAGGCTGAACATAAGCATGGAACTCAGATTCAATCTCTCCAGTTGATGTGTTCAGCAATACCGCTGGAAATTCAACTACGTGAAAGAATCATCAATTGACAATCAGTGTTTCAGTAAAAACATATTAAAATGACCAAAGCAGTGTGATGTAATGGTTATAATTAAAGTTATGCCAAAGAATGTCAAAATATTAAAGTTGAATATATCTATTTAAAATTCAAATATATTTTCACCATTAAAATCCATATGGAAGCAAAAATGGACTTACTCCTTTTTGCAAAGGTATTTTTCAGTTTCTATGCAATTTAGATTTTGAATGCAAACCTAAAACACTTATTTTTAAAAATGTATTGGTTAATAGAAGTATACAGGTTCGGATATACAATCCTATCGGGCACTGTCTGTGTTGCATGTTCACCACCCAGCCCCGGCCTGTCTTCGCCCTCGGTACCCTCCCCACTAAACACACGTTTCCTGGGCGGTCACGGCCCGGCACTCGGGTTTGCTCCCTCTTCGGTGAGTCGGGTTTTACAGTAAACGACTAATTCCCGGGCCATCTTGTTTTCCACCTGCTGACATCTGTGCGCTGCGCAGTGACACGGAAGCCGGCCGGGCCGGCGGCACGTCACTCACTGATTTCCTGGGTCCGGTGGCGTTTCCCGTCTTCCCAACACGTCGACTCAAAGTCAATAACAACCAGGTAGTCGAACAACTGCTCTGCAAGACACGAGGGCGTCCCGCGGTCACCGCGACGCGGCGAGCTGCGGGGCACCGGTCGGCGCGCTACTTACCGCGTCCGCTCCGCGCTGGGCGCCTGCGGGCGGGCTCTGCCGACCGGCTCCGGATCAGGCCTAGCCGCCTGGAAGCGAGAGCAGCACGTCAGGCCAGGCTCCTCCTCTGCTCCGAGGTATCGGGCCTGCCGCTGCTCGCAGCCCTTCATCTACCGCGTCAATCTCTTGGACGCCATACACGCACGTCGTTGCTCACTGCCGCCCAGCTGCCGGAAGTCTCCCGGCGCCGACTTCCGCTCCGATCAACGGCCCGC